AAATTAACATTAATGGCAATTCCTGTGTATGAACATTATGCATAATTTAATTATAAACCAGCAATTTGATATCAGAGACATATTGTATTATATGTCTCTGTTGATATTGATATTAGTGCTACTTGCTATCTTATAAAAACAATCAAGACAATACTAGTGCAACATGGATGTATCGTTTTTGAAAATATAATAGTATGGATGTTTTTACAATTTAGAATAAAATGTCCAAAAGTCATGTCATCTGATATCTTGATGTAATATTTCCATTATTATACAATACAAAATAACAAAAAAAAACCCAACAATACTGGTACAATACTGGAAGACAATACTGAATAAACAGTATTGTGATCGCCAAGTTCAGGTGATCCATGGAGTGCTCGATTTCTTAATTCCACATGCAGGGAATGCAAGTATAAAGTTTCCTGAGAGCTGAATCATTAAGTACAAACGACGTTTCATTAAAGTTTTGCCACTGCTTTTTGTTGTCTTCTTATACACACAAATGCAATAACTGTTTGCTGAGAAGACCATGATACATTCATTCTATGTTCAGGTACTGTTACTTTTGGTTCAGAAACGGGTAGTAAAAAATTATAAGCCTGGTATTGCCTTCATTTTTGTTTTATTCTTTCGACATGAAACAAGTTTTAAATAGATAGGTATTTCACATACTAAATTTTACGGTAATATTGTACTTAAAGCGCGGAAATCACTATGTGATCCATGTAAACTCATCGAACCTTTAAACAAACTTATTAGTAAAGGTTATCTTACCAATGTTGTAATTAGATCTTTGAATATAGTTTACATTGGCACTAATATCGATTTTGTCATCAGCAAATTAAAACATAACTAAATTTGTATTTTTTTCAAGCGGGATGTATAGAGACACACCCATGTTCGTTTAGATCTATAAAGAGGTTAAACTCCTAACTATCCTACTGTCTGTCGATACATTTATTTTTGGCATTGCACTAGTCATGTCTTCTTTGACTGTCCATGACGTTAAAATACTAAATCCGTGGGATGTGTTTTATATGATTTTAGTCTCTGATGCATGATTTTTTATTATTAATTGTTTTGGCTTTTAACTAGCTGTCAGTAACTGCGAGTACTCTCAAATCGTACTTTCTTGTTTATTTGACCTGTTGATACTAATTGTCTTGCTTTTTTGTTATTTAATGTTATTCAGGGTTATATCTGGTCTATATACCAGCTTTGATAAGTGTTTGGTATAACTATATAAATTTTCACTCCGTAAAATGAACATCAAAATTATTTATTTTGTAAAAATATTTCCTTTCTCTATTGGTACTGTACACATATACCTAACAACAAAATTATTTTCATTTACCTGTGTTTAAAGTTATTGCAAATGGCTGATATTTTTGTTCGAGCATATTGTATTTCTTTAATTGTTTAACATTTCTTACCGATATAACATGTTACTTTTATTATTCTTCCCTTAGTTTATTTATTTTGTATTTACATTGTGTCATAGGTCAAATTTATTTGTTCAGTGTATGTTCAATGGTGTTAATATGTCCTTTGATTGAGTTAAGCTATTTCAGTTGATATTTTATAGTGTGTCTTTCTATGTTGTGATGTTACACTATTGTTTCAGAAAAAGGGTGAAGGTTTGGTACCATTAAAACGTTTAAACCCGCTGCATTTGTATGCACCTGTCCTAAGTCAGGAATCTGATGTTCAGTAGTTGTCGTTTGTTGATGTGGTTCATAGTGTTTCTTGTTTCTCGTTTTTTATATACTAGTAGATTAGACTGTTGGTTTTCCTGTTTGAATGGTTTTACACTAGTAATTTTTTGGGGCCCTTTATAGCTTACTGTTCGGTGTGAGCCAAGGCCCCGTGTTGAAGACCGTACTGTGACCTATAATGGTTTACTTTTATAAATTTTGACTTGGATGGAGAGTTGTCTCATTGGCACTCATACCACATTTTCTTATATCTATGTGAAGTCACAGGTTTGAAGCAGTTTCTTTTACAGAATTTGCGAACCTACATATAAATAGTAAATACAGAGAAGAAGTGCAAGATCTAACAGTTGTCAGGATGGCTGTTATTTTTTAATGTAGGTTCACAGCTAGTGTTTGATTTATCTTTGAGGTTTCATTGTTTTATACCTTTTTTTCAAATCCAAGTAAACTGGTATGAATCCCAAGTTTATAAATATATTCACCCTGGTCCCACTATAATATCTTGTACAAATTAGGATAGGTTTTTTATTATTGTTTTTAAAGTCTGATATTTTTTCTTCATTTTTGTGTTTACCTTTTATAGTTGTTGATTGTGCCTTTCACCAGTTCTTTATTTTTACACATTATAATATCACCCCAAAATGGCCACATTAATATGGCTCTAGAATGAACACCTTGATATCCCTCTTGCTTGAATCATAAACATTATGCCCTCCCTTTAACAGTTGAAGTCAAAATTTCAGGGGTACCTACATCTACCTGCTCAAACCTCTTTTCAGAGCCAACGATTTCAATCAAATTTTCCTGAAACATTTCAAGTCATTAAACAATCAACATCACTTTAACATGACCAAAGAGATTATGTATTTCCAGCAAATGAAAATAACACTTTATAACGTTCGTGCATCTGAATGGCTTCTCTGGATTTACCTTCACCAGGAACACTCATATCTAAACATTTAAAAGCCAGGGATATATATATATGTAACTAGAAACGTTGGGAGCTATATAACCAAAAGAAACCTTACGATCATTGATGGCACCATAAATGCTACATTCATGAAGTGCGAGCACATAGGCACATTGCAACTCTAGCATTGATATGTTTATGTCATCCTAACATGAACATATATTAATGATTCATCATGAAAATTTAAGTGCAACCTATTCTTGAGACATCAATGTTACTTTTAAAATGGGGATATGAATGTAAAACCAGCATTAATACTTTTTGTCCTATGGTAAGAAAACATTGTTGACACATTAGAATAGACAAACTGATGTTACTTTATTCCAACCACACTAATGTCATTCTAATGTATTGATTGATTGGTGTTTAACGCAATTCTCAGCACTATTGTGCTATTTCATGGCGGTCAGTATTTTATTGGTGGAGGAAGCCGAGGTACTGGGAGAGAACCACGACCTCCGATCGGAAAACTGAAAATCATGGTCAATTAAGATTGGAGTCAAATGTAAATGTCACAGCAGCACTAAAAATTTTATGTCACTCCGCAAATGAATTTTAATGGTGCTCAAACCTGCAGAAGTAACTCAACAAATAAAAATATTATGTCACTTCAAAATAGTAAAATTGATGTCAGTTCTGTATATTAAAGCAAGTTAATATCTCCAGCATAGAAACATATGTTTCAAGCATTCAAGCATGCCACACAGATTGTATGGAATGTAAAAAAAATGAGCTTTGTCTGATTTAAATTGTCTAATCTGATGACTCATGGTGTGGAAATTTAAACTGAGAAACAGACATAAGCAAGGAAAATAGTTCTTCATTGAATCATGAAAAGAGTTAAAAGTTTGGTGGCTCCTGTAAGATGGACATGCACACCCTTCAACCATACTAATGTGTACTGACTCGTCTGACTGACTTATGACTGCTTATTGTTCAGCTGCAAATATATGGTGCAAATTTAAGATTGCTCTGATGTCTGATGGACCTTTTTGGGACTTGCTGGTGTCATTGAAGGTCAGAGTGCAGCCTCAGTGAAAAACATGGAAATTACCTAACCAGATTGGATGGGAAGTGGGCACGTTTCTGTTTTGAAAGCACAGAAGATTAACTGTCAAGCAGTTTAGCCATACACCATTTTTCTTCATTCTTTTCCATTAAAGAATTTGTACCTGCAATTTACTGGCTATCCCCCAGTAACTCCTGGTTTCAAATATTAAAGTCACACATCCATGGATAAAATCTGAACATCTCCTATTGGTCGTTTGGCTAGCTTAGGTTTATGCCTTTTTTCATGAAATAATTGTGTATGCCACTGAAATTCATTGAATGAATAGGCAGAATTGCCGCGGTGATAATCCCTCTTTGACTGGTTTCTAACTAATGGTTTGAGAGAAGTTGAAGATTTTTATTTATTGACCAATCAACACAAAAAGAGGGAAGAATCAGAGAGCTTGGTAACTCTACGGGAAAATGCTAAAGTCTGAAACTGTTTAAAGTTTACAAAAGTAATAATTTCAAGTTCTAAATATTATCAAACATAATATTACTGATAAACCAAAATCTAAATCTATTTACTGTATTCAATTTCTTAACAATTTAGCACTTTGTGAAAGGATAATAAGAAATTGTTGAGTTTATAAAGGGAGATTATTCAAATCACTTGCATTAATGTAAAGCCTTAAAGAGTTGTTGTGAGAGACTTTGAATTTGGACCATTAGTGTTGTAAGAAGATGGCTTTGAAACAAGAATATGTGTCTATAGGACAAATGCTCTGCTTGCACCATCATGTGTCCATGTTAGGTTAACTGTGAAATCTGGGTTAAAATCGTATTGGGCATAACATTTTAAAAGTTCCCCTCACTATTATAATTGATTGATTGTTGGTGTTGAATGCCACTTTCAGCATTATTGGCTATAACGTGGCGGTCAGTTTTTATTGGTGGAGGAAGCCGGAGAGACTGGAGAAAACCACACACCTTCGTCATAAAACTGACAAATCTAGTCAATTAAGATTGGAGACTAAAGCACCTTCAACATGCGAGTTGGAACTCACAACCTAAGTGTTGACAAGCAAGTGATACATTTGATGAACTAATTGAACAACTTAGACCACTCGGCCACTGGGCCCCATTCACTTTGAAAATGTCAAATAATTTCAAGTTGATATGAACAGAACTTATTGTTAAACTACCTTTACCAAAAAATCTAACCTATGAATGTACCAATTTCACACTAGCACATTTCTATGTTCAATGAACAATGTAAGGCTTTTTAGTTAAGGAAATTCACAATTAAGACAACAAGCAGAATAGGTCCATATTTAATCGATAAGGACTTAAAAACTTACATACAAAATCAAAACAAAATTTATCAAAAGATGTTCTCATATGAATAGAAGAGAAATATTAGTTCAAAAGGTATAAAAGGTGGTATAGATTGTTTCCAAAATTTGTATTTCCTGTCTACTTTTTTTCAAAGATTTCTAATAATACCAATAAAAAACTCTGTCTAGAACTAATCATAAGTCCTTTTTCTATGAAAATGTTTTCAGTTAATCCCATCATTCCTGAGCATATACCTGTCAGCTAACTGGACAGTCTGTCACACATTTAAATATAATGTTCTCTAAAATCTGTCTTTCTAAATTCTTCCCTACAACGAAAAAGTGGGAATGGATATTTTGATAAAACGTCTCATTACTTTACCTGTCTAAAAAAGCTATTTTTCAATACTTTGATATACTTTTATAACATGTTTCTATTTTCAGCTCTTTCCTGATACTCACTTCAAGAGTTATGAATCTGACTAAAACGTTAAAATATAAGGGTCATTTTGAAACGCCCGTCTGGCGCAAATACAAAATTTCAATCCTGGTATCTATGATGAGTTTATTTAATTCACTTGTTGGTAAGCAGAAGTGGTTAAAAATGTGCAATGGAAAGCATCATGAATAAGTAAATAGAATTTTTTATTTTCATATACAAACACTTCTAAATTTACAAATAAGTTTGATTACATGTATGTTAGAAGCAAAACTTTGATATAAATGAACGAAATTATTTCAATGTGCTCAAATACCATAACACATGAATTCTAGAACAACCTTCATCCAGTACCCTCTAATACAAAAGTTTTGAAACACATATACCAATATCGAACATTTCAAAGCTTCAAAATAGAAATGGGGTCTAAAAAAATCAGCCAAAATCGGCTTTTAACACTTTGTTCCTGGAATAACCTTTGAGGTATGTAATGCCAAAAAATTTAGATGAGTAGTTACCAAAAAAATATATTAACTGATTACTTGTGTTAATAAACAGGGAATAAAAGCTGTTTACACATGACTCGAGCTCTTCATATCCAGAAAAATTATTCCATAATTGAGTTTCAGAGAGATTGGTAGTGCTTGAAAGTACATGTTCAGAGAGATTGGTAGTGCTTAAAAGTACATGTTCAGAGAGATTGGTAGTGCTTAAAAGTACATGTATATAAAAATACAAATATACTGTGGATTCATTATCATTCATGGGATACCTGTTTTTTAGGTAAACCACGAATTAAAAGGTTCAACAAAGTACAATTATTCTATAGGCTTGCATGCAGACTTTGACAAAACCAAGAAATCAAATATCCACAAAAATACAATTTTTCCTCAATCCACAAAAATTGATATCCACGAAAATAAATGGATCCACAGCACCTGAGGCTATGTTTCAGAGTCAGTGTATGGTATTGCTTAACAAAGTTCATATCAGAAAATATAACAAGCTTTAACAAGGTGAATTCTAAACTGTCCTTCTAAGAGATATGATAATAATAAATGTTGCAAATAATTATGAGCACATACTGTACTATTGGTTTTCCAACTTATTGTTGATAAGTCATATATTGAAGTGTCTGAGATGTCTAGTTAAAAGATATCTATATATACAGAACATCTCTGTCAGTGACCTCTATCTATAAAATCTTGTTCCTGTTATGTAATAAAATGGCTGTGTCACCCAACCAAATATAGTTTATGATGAGTTTGCATAAATGGATATGTTGGGTATACGTCAATGAGACAGCAATTCAACCACACAAAAGACATTAAAAGGTCAACGTATACAGTCTTCAACAATAGACATGTGTCTTTACAATATACCAAATGTTTTGTTTAAGATTTAAAACCAAAAATTCTAAAGCAAGGTGTTACCTATAAAAACAATTCTATTAATTCTGTCTTCTGGTTTTTCCCATGATGTTGTATAAAATGAATCATATAGTTCTTGTACTCCTTGTATTACTAAACGTCTATCTTCTGAAGTAGATAACAAACCCTACAACAAAAAGGATATATAAAATTATAATATATGCTTTTGTCTAATTCATAGCAGATTTATCCTTTTCCTGACCTGTTGATTATTTTATTTAATCAACGTGTGGTTTGTTCGATCTCAGTTCTTCAGTGCCAAAATTCAATTATGACATAAAATTTTCTTGCTTTCTTTTGAATTTTCTTTTTTGACGTCACCAAAAAAGACAACCATGCCTGCACACCTTTTTGCAGATCATTGGAAACGAAGGATACGTATTGTCTAAAAATCATAAGAGAAACAGAATCTACCACCAAATCTCATGCAATACAATATTTCTCCACTCTCTGCAGTTAAATTTTAAATATTAAAACGCTCATCGAGCCTTGCATTTTAAAATTGAAAATTTAACTGTCTCTAGTAGAGAAATATTGTATCACACTCGATGCAGTGGTGGAATCTATATTTATACAATGGAATTTCTATTTATTTTTACAGAGTAGATAATGATAATGACATACTACAAATGGTAATACTGTAAATTCAGAAATCATTGTGTGAATTTATTTTTTGCTTTCATTGTGCAACAGACGTGAAAAGCAACTTAAATTGTGATTTCAAGAAATGCTGCATTTAACTAAAGCGACAATTTAAAATTTGAGTTCTTTTATGCTAAATAAATCCTGTCACAGATTTTGCAATAATGAAATAAAGCAAAAGTTGTTAAACACATATACAATATATGTACATTGTCGGAAAATATAAAATTTATTTGTATGAGCTTTAGAAACAGGACGAAAAGCGAGGCTAGCCGAGCTTTTCTCCTGTTTCGCAGCGAGTACAAATAAATCTTATATTTTCCGACAATGTACATATATTGTTTTTATCCTGAAATTTACACCCAACACTTGAAACTTTAGTGGTTAAAATCTAAATCATTGTCTCTAATTTTTCAAAGAAATCGACATAGTTTAAACGCGGACCGCGAAGAGGACCCCAAAATGAACTGGTACGCAAAAAGAAATATCCACATTACCGCTTGCTCAATATGGAAGAGGGGTAACAGAGACTTTATTTGTACAAGTACAAATGAAGCAAACATTTATTTGTGTACCTGTTATTTGTACAATAGTTGGCTGATTGCAGGATAAAAAGGATAATAACATTGTTGTAAAATAGCAAAAATCATATTTAGTTTGGGTATCATCAGCATTTTCCTAGCTTAAAATCTGAAAGGTAATGATATTTTATCTTGAGGATAAAAACAAGGCTATTTTGTGGTTAATATAAATCTACATATATTTATACAAGGTTATAATAGATCATGAACATGTAAGCAATAAATAACACTCTTTAATCTGGATTATATAGTCTTTAAATAAAACTTTGACAGTAATTCTGAATTATTTATCAAGTAATCTGATGTATTCATTTGTATGTGCTGACACTTTATAATCTATCTAAAAGTGCCAATGAAAAAAAAAGGAATTTTAATTATATATTAGTTATCATGAAATCTTAAGGTTTGCCAATGAATGACAAAATGAAGGTTTTTATTAATCATCCAACATTAGCATGATTATGGTAAAATACCAATATTTTTTTGTGATTGTTTTTTGTTTAAATGAAAATTTGGTGAGATAATTAATGTCTCCACTTTTTAAATTGGAGATCAAAGGTTAGCATTTAATATCAGAAAACATAAGTAATAATAATTCAATAACATTTGTCCTATCTGTAAAAAATATTGACGACATTTGTTTAGATTAATCAAACAAGAGTGGACATGCTTAAATGACTTGCCTTCTTTACTGATTATAACTGATTTTTTTTTCAGTCATTGAGATCAAACTCTTACTACAGTTATCACAAACTTAACATTGATCAATGAACCATGTAAATGAGGTCAATTATGATGAACCCTGTCAGACAGACATGTACTCCTTACAATCACTCATTACAACATATATCATTCACCACTATTTACAGTTTCTGAGAAAATGACCTTATGAAAACTTCTAATTGACCAATGGACCATGAAAATGAGGTCAAAGTCAGGTAAACCTTGTCAGACAAACAGGAACAACTTAAAATGACTAGAAACAAAATAAAGTTGACCTATTACATCCTAATAGAGAATGTGATATGAACACTAAAACTTAAAATCAATCAATGAACAGTGAAAATGAGATCAAGGTCAAGTGAACATTGTCTGATGGGCATTTATACCATGCAACAATTGTATATCCCAATTATAGTTGTCAATTTGCATACATGGAACTGAAACAAAGTTCATAAGCAGAAGCAGAAATGCTTCATCCACTTTACTGATAATGACCCATCACAATCATATGATACACATCCTTGATTAAAACCATGTATGCTTATTATGGTTGTCAAATTCACAGACAAAAATGCCAAAGTTGATGAAAAATTGTCAATTAACGACAAGAACTATAAAGAATCATTTAATGATATTGGTACCATTAGATAGAAAGTAGATATTTACATACTGAGCATTTTGCCCGTCAGATTTTCTGTTTTAATACATGTTATTATTTTCCAGGTATTGGACAATTAACCTCAATTTACCGTATGTTCCATTTTATTAGCCACGGTGGCCATTATGGTTGATTTAATATCAAATTTTAATCAAGATGCAATAATTTCAAAGATGTACATAAAAACTTAGTACTTGTGTCCTTGTTACAATACGATTTATGATAATTAATATTTAACTCATGTTATAGTACAGATTATATCTTTGTTTAGATAAGTACAACAATTAAGTATATAAGCACTGATATAACCTAAGCAAATATCTGTTACCTTGACACAAGAAGATAGTTTGAACACCTAATAATAATCAACTGATATAGAATGTCCAGGATCCAACCAATATAGCAGTTGAATAAAATAGATCCCTGAAATGGCATTATCAAATTCATTCCAAGAGGGACAAGTTCCAATGTTATGTCAGATGTGTGAAGAATCCATTGAGATCAAATGGAAATGTTTACAGTGTGACTTTTTTTTTGTGTATAAAATGTCAGAAATTTCATCAAAAAGTTAAATCAAAAGACCAGCATGCAATTATAGACATCAAAGACATTGCTACATACCAACAACTAATTGAGGATAGTCCAGACTTTAGTAATATACCATGTGGAGTTCATAGTGGACAAAACAGTTGTTTATTCTGTCATATATGTACAGAAGTTATCTGCTCTTTGTGCATTCGTAAAACCCACGAAGACCACAATATCATTGAATTAACTGAAGGTTATAACCTTACAGTGAAAGCTGAAGTGTTACATTCTGAACTTGAGGAGAACATTTTACAAACTGGGAAAGGATTATCTAAATTGGATTTTATGAAATATTCAGAAGAATCAACATTTGAATCAGAGAAGCAGAAAATTTTGAAGGACGAAGTTGAAAAGCATACAAAGAACCTTTTAAAAAAACTTGGTCAAAGGAAGGACATTCCGTGGAAATCCCTAATTAATGAAGAAAACAGATTACAAAAGATCAACAAGGATTTAGAATTTAGAAGAAATAGCTTAAGTAAAACCTTAGGTCTCAAAAAATGCAAATGAAATTTTCAGCATAATCAAACAAGAAAGAACAGCCAGGACAGATAAGATTCAAGTGAACATCAGATTTAAAGGATTGCCACAATATGTACCTAGAATGCAACCAATTTTACAGTCACAACATGGGGAACTGACTGAACTGGAAGATGATAATGCACAGGAGAAACCGGAATTTACAGTGGTACAAAAATATAAAACTGAACTACCACTGGTTGAAGATTTAGTTTGCTGTGAAAACAGAACATTGTGGATAAACCAATGTGAAAGTGAAATCTTACAGAAAATACAGCTTACTAAAGGATCAGTTCAGGTAGTTGAGAATATTAAAACATATTCATCTAGCATAGCTTCATTACCAACAGGAAATCTACTGATACCAAAGATCCTTTCCTTCAAATATTTTCACACACCACTGGAGAGATACATGAATCAATATACAACTTTGCTCCTCTTCAAACAATAGCTGTCCATGTAACCAAAACTAATCGAATCATAGTAGGGGCAAGAGAAAATGGAAAATCCTTTCCTGTCAATGGTCTAAGACAAGTGATTGTGATGGATATTGATGGAAGTGAAGAGAAAGTGTACCATTTAGATAACAATAGAAAACACATCTTTACAGTTCCTAGACGAATAGCTACTGACAATGATGATGACATTTATGTCATAGATATTCTAGATAAAAACTGGAGTGGTAGGATTGTTGCCTTAGATAAAATTAATGGAGTGAGATGGGTATATAGTGGCCAGTCAGATGTGTACAAAATGTTTCAACCTAAAGACTTAGTGACAATATTATAATAACAGACGATAATCATCATATGATTTATATAGTCAACAATACTGGACAGTGTCTTCATTACATGAACACTAAGGATCAGTTAGATATTCATTGGCTACCTCAATAGACATTGACAATAGAGGTATACTGTATGTAGGTTGTAATACATACCAAGGTAAACCTCCAGGAGCCCTAATATATACTGTTCATTTTTCTGGCTGCTGATTTGCTGTCCAGTTTTGGGGTTCTAATTTCTGGCTATGATTAATATATACTGCCTAGTTTTCTGGAAACTGAATTAAAATCCAGTTTTCTAGATTCTAAATTACAAATTGTGATTGCTACATAATGTTCAGTTTTCTAGATTCTGAATTACCAAGTGCAATTACTATAAACTTTCAAGATTTCTGACTTCTGAATTACCAATTAGGATTACTATATACTAACTAGTTTTCAGGATTTGGAATAACAGATTGCATTTCTATCCAGTACTATGTAGATATTGTGTCCAAACACCTTATTGCTATTTGTCCGCCATTACTGGACATCACAAAGGTTCCAGTAAAATTTAGACGTAATAAAAGACAATAACTGACGCCACAATGGAAAAGTGATTGTTGTATGACATCAATAGTTCAAGAGGCGCA